CCAACGAAGTACTGATGGGGTGGTCATAATAATCTGGCCACTCAAAGGACTTCCAAAGAAGAACAAGGAGGACAATATGACCATTTTACAGTCACAGCACACCTTTGCCAAGCCGAGAAACACAATACTCAGTGCTCCATCAATAGCTCCCAATGGAACACCCCCAAACCGGAACGTCCTATCCTAAACATGCCGTGGGCCACCAATAGTTCAAACTGAAACAAGATACATACGCTCTAAACATGCAGTATAGTTGCATATGCTATAAGAACAAATATGTATATAAAATCAATACCCAAGCCATGCGTCTGCTCCCTCCCATGGTTGAGCCCTTTTTACTTTTGTAAATGTGACATTAGATCTGTAAGCCTGTTATTTGTGATAAGAATCACTGAATTTTTCTGGTAAGATATATACAGTATATGGGGTTGCAAGGCCCATGCAGACAAAATGTTCTCCTCAATGCCCTTTACCCAGTAATACCACCTCCCACTCCAACATTCAGCATCTAGTGGCCAAGAAAAACAGCCCTCTGCTGGGTTGCTCCAGTTGGCTCCTACATAAGGCTTTGAAAAGCCCAGGGCCAATCACAAAGCACTAGTGCAGTCACGTGGAGCAAGTCACATGCTCCCCCTCCCAGAACTGGAAGTAGTAATCATTTTCCTTTGCTCTCAGTGGGTTAACAAAGCAACAAGGTAGCAAAGGAAGAAGAGTTTGTGCTTCTGGAAAAAGAAAACCTGTTGCTTTGCCTTGAATGAGAGAAGCAAACATTTTCTGTAGCCTTGTGCAGGCCGGAGAAAGCTACATCTTCCCAGAGGTAAAGAAATCCACATCCTTCATGGCTGCACAGTCATCTGAATCACTTGTACTAGTTTGCGATTGTGCTGTGCCCCCCACCACCATAGTTCTCATGTTCCCCCGCTCCTCTGAGGGAACATGGTAAATGGTGTCAGGATGGAGAGTGGGAGTAGACTGAGGAATATCTGTTCATCTGCTCTCTAATGAATGAAGCAGGAAGGATCATATCCTTCATGATCTTTTATA